GACCTACATTTAAGTTACAATTAACTTTTTATTACTCTGTGTAATTGATAAATCTCATGAGATCTTTAGGAGCAATTTTATCATTTGATTTTCTCGTCCAGCAGAAATGAGATTTGGAACATTAAACAGAGATAGGTGGATTATAGAAAACCTGAAATTTAGAAAATATTCTCATGTTTTGTGACTAGGAAATAACAGGTTCTTTTTAAAATTCTGAAAAAGTGGAAAAACCATAATCAGTGAAATTACCAGTAGTACCTCAGTTTTGGATTATGGCGTGCTGAGTTTCTTTAATTTTTTTGAGAGTTTGATCTTTCAAAACATAAATTATTACAAAGGGAATTATTATGGTAGAACATAACTATGGACACTTCTAAAACTATCTGCATATTTGGAATAGACATTTTACAAATAACTTTTACTAAACTATACACTCAGGGTGATAGTAACCACTTATTGGCATTTTGCCACTGAAAGTGTATGATTGATACAGGTTAAATGGAGAATGTATTGTGGTTCTTTAGTAACGTTGTGGTTACTACTATAGTTATTTATTGATTTTTATGTGTTAGGTAGGGCATTAATTCCCATTTTACAGATGATTAACCTGACAGCCGTGAAGAATCAATGGGTTGCCCATGACCTCATAATTGGATTCCATCTTTTTTCCCCTCTGCCAATTAAAATTTTTTCAACCATTTTTCTGTGTTCCTTTTCTGGAACATAACAACTAATTCAAGAAAGGAGGGGAATGGAATGTGTTGTTTGTACAGATGTAGGACTCCCTTGGATACACACTCTGCCTTATTTTGAAGACCTACTTTAAGAAGCATTTAATTTTAGTCCACAGACTTTAAAGAATATAAGTAATCTCTAATGCCCCAGACTATTTTTTTGATTGCTTTTTTTCATCATTTTTTTTTTCTGCCAGTGATGCTGTCTGTGTTGTGTAATGATTTGGGGGCAATATTCAGTAAGATGCTATTTAATTAAGAGGGGAAGGGTTTCAACAAATGCTACAATTGTTAATTAATTCAACAAATTTTTATGTATACCTACTATGTGCTAGACACATCGTTGTGTATTATGCATATCAGGAGCAATAATTCGCATGGAAGCTATAGGCTGCTGGGGTAGAAAGATAAGCAAAAAAGCAAAAAAAAAATATAAAAAGGAGAATAAAAATTGATTACATATCCATGGTGACTTCTGTGACAAAAAAAACATCAAGAAACCACGATAGAGCATAAAAGGGTATATTTTAGAAAGAGTAGTAAGGAGAAACCACTTTAAATGGGTAACTATTGGTGAAGATGAAGAATATCTATTTCATGTTATGGCTTTCCCCAGAGTCTGGATATCACTATTTGGATCATAAAAGGAGAGAAAAAAGGACCCTCTACAAAATAGTAACAGGGACCGCCAGATTTTTCAGGACAGTGGGCAAAGTTTGCAAGCTAGTCTATTCTGATTCTGAGGAAATTTTTCTTTGTTCCATTTTATGATGTAGGTGTTTATAGAATGAAGAGGGCTAAAAGTGGGAGGAGATGATGTAATATCTTAT